TATTGATATATTCTCTAATTAGTTGGTTTTTCTTTTATCGACATCCAGCCGTTATTTTTATTGGCTCCAAAAACTCTTCCATTACCACGTACTATAACGCTATTAGGCATGATTTTGAAAATATTGTGGTTACTTACAAGCTGAAAATATTTCTATTGACTCAATTCAAATATTTTTGAATATATTATAAAAGTGTGTGTTTCACATCATTTTTGAACAGTAATCTAGCGAACAATTCTTCCCACTATGGGTCGGTTTATTCACCTTCTGATAAACTGTCAGGTATGCAATCTGACCGATAAAAGCACAATCTGTAATCTCATTGGTCGGCCAGATATCCGCCGACTAATAGAATTATAGAACGGTAAGTTTATCTTGCAGATATTTACCAGCAAGTTTATCTGAAGATGAATTAACCGGGCCTGAGTATTTGAATCTGGGAAATAAACCCTCGAAGTTCTATTTTACTATCAGAATCAAACGTCCAACATTTTGTTTGACTCACCCAACTAGACTCTACAAAGATAAATATAACAATAAAACTTACGGATCTCATGGAATAATATTTAATTTTTTTACACTCTGTGCTTTGTTAAGATTTTAGTTAGTTATTCAATTTTTTTCCCTCTACTATCTGAACCCTTTGACTACAATCCATTCTCAAATACCTACGTTATCAATACGTAAGTATTGCATCTGTCCAATCTGGTCGACCTCTACCATGAATCAATAAAGATATCTTAATGTTTGATAGATAGGTCTGTTTCTGCAGAAATCACAAACCAGTCAGAGTGAATTTCATTGATTGAAACTGGTTTTCCGACTGTTTCTGACTGTTTTCAACCAATGAAATTCACTCTGACTGGTTTGTGATTTCTGCAGAAACAGACCTACCTATTGTAAATGGCAAAACTACAATACTGATCGATGAGATCACGCTCAAACGACTCATGAAGCAACTACTAGAAAAAACCTAAGCTTGCTAAATAAATCTTTCGAAAAAGTAGGGATTCCAGAATCCTATAAAAACTTCACTTTCAGCAACTGTTTTCTGAAGGTAGTTGGAGAATAGGTCGAATTATCCAGGAGAGAATATTCCGCTTGAAAAGGGTAATAAAACATCATAGATTGGCCTCATCTTCTAGCAAACAAGTCTTCGCACTAGGGTTCGGTTTATTCACCTTCTGATTAACTGTCAGGTATGCAATCTGACGGATAAAGCGCAATCTGTAATCTCAAAATCTGGCCACGGATATCTGGCCACCAGATATCCGCCGACTAATAGAATTATAGAACGGTAAGTTTATCTTGCAGATATTTACCAGCAGGTTTATGTGAAGATGAATTAACCGGGCCTGAGTATTTGAATCTGGGAAATAAACCCTCGAAGTTCTATTTTATTAACAGAATCAAACATCCAACATTTTGTTTGACTCGCCCAACTAGATTCTACAAAGATAAATATAACAATAAAACTTACGGATCTCATGGAATAATGTTTAATTTTTTTGAACTCTGTGCTTTGTTAAGACTTAAGTTAGGTATTCGATTTTTCTTTCTTCCTACCATCCTAACCCTTTGACTATAATTCATTCTCAAATACCTACGTTATTGATAGGTATTGCATCTGTCCAATCTGTTCCACCTTGACAAAATAATTTTTTTTAGCTTTTTGCATGAATCAATAAAGATATCTTAATGTTTGATAGATATTGTAAATGGTAAAATTACAATACTTAAAATAATATCATGAACCACATAATATAGAAATGTTTTCCGATATGGTCAACTCTAGGACAGCTTATATTACAAACTAGGCATTGATTAACATACCGTAAACTTGCAACTGGTCTTGTCTTTGTATAGTTACAATAATTATTATTATGTAAATGGTACATTTCAATGGCAATTTTTTTTAAAAGAATCTTCATTTCTGCTCCAGTATTTTGCAAAACTAAATCGTGATAATCATTTAAATAATGGCCGTAAGAACAAGCACAACTCTAAGACCATATAAGTACCCAATTTAATTAATTGACGATATTGTAAATAAGCGCCTACATACTTTATATCGTGAAAGATTATATAGTAGCACCTTCTATTTTCAGCTTCAGATTATACCATGTCTTTTATTAATATGGAGTGCTGCTGCCAAACCAGAACCACCAGTTAATTCATATTTACCACCCAATGGCAATGGAAATGGTAATGGAAGTAAGTACCAATATATTTTTTTATAACAAAAGCTTATACATTCAAACTAATTGTAGATGGTGGGCCAGATTCCAAATATGGACCTCCTGGATATGAGCCAGGAGTCCCCTTAGGTAATGGAAATGGTAACGGAAATGGATACAGTAATGGTAATGGCAACGGAAATGGATATAGCAACGGCAATGGTAACGGAAATGGCAACGGTAATGGAAATGGGTATGATGGAGGACCACCAGCGCCAGTTTATGGGGTACCAAACGGAAATGGTAAGGAAAATTTACGAAAAACTGCCTCTCAGCATGGCTATGCTTTGAATTATTTATCGCTAAAAAAAAAAAAACATTCCATTATGAGATCGACTACTGTAACCCTAGCTAATTCAATGCAAATAATAACCATGTGGCTTAGGAAATTATCTAGATCTTGACAGCGACCAAAAGCCAGGTACTAGCTATTTGCCGCCAACAAACGGTAACGAAAACGACTTGTCTGCTTCTTACGGAGCGCCTAACGGAAATGGCAATGGTAATGCATGCTTACTAATAATTATATGTTTCCATATATAAAGCAATATTACGAATTTCATGGAAACTTATTTTGCATAGGTAACGGTAAACCAGGCCCACAATATTTGCCACCCAGTAATGGAAACGGGAACGGAAATGGTAACGGCAATGGTAATGGTTATAGCAACGGAAATGGTAACGGAAACGGCAGATCTTATCTACCACCTAACGGTAATGGCCACGGTAACGGTAATGGTAACGGCCGTCCAGGAGCTAGTTATGGACCACCTCGTAACGGTAACGGTAACGGAAATGGTAATGGTAAACCCAGTTCTTCATACGGGCCTCCAAGCAACGGCAACGGAAACGGTAATGGAAATGGCAGACCTAGCTCAACATACGGAGTACCCAATGGAAACGGAAACGGAAACGGTAATGGCAATGGTAGACCTAGCTCAACATACGGAGTACCCAACGGGAATGGTAACGGTAATGGCAAACCTAGTTCAACTTATGGTGTTCCCAATGGAAATGGTAACGGGAATGGAAAACCCAGCTCAAGCTATGGAGTACCGAATGGAAATGGTAATAATTGTTTTATGAAAGTCCAGCGTGGCTTAGGTCTAGGTATTTACAATTCTGCATTGAAATGCATAACTTTTCCGAGTTTTAGGTTTCATTCAAAGGTGAATACTAATAAAAAGTCTTGTCGAAAAACACAAGATTTCTTTGCAATCTGAATTGATTCATCTTGAAGTAGAGGTTTTTAAATTCCTAGAAATCAAATATCATATCAAAGACGCTAAGATTGATCTTATCTGATAGTTCTTTCCATTTTCATTACCATTAGACTGTGACTGTTTATCAATTTTAAACCAAATGTATTTTTTAGGTAATGGAAGACCATCTTCATCGTATGGACCACCATCTAATGGCAACGGAAATGGTTATGCTGCCAACGGAGGTTACGATGATGGAGAACCAGAAGAAGCCACTGTAAGATTTTCTTTTTAAAGTCAATTCCTTTGAATAAACAACTAATATTAATTCAGGAACCAGCAAAATATCAGTTTGAATACCAAGTCAGCGATCCAGAATCTGGCAACGAGTTCGGCCATAGGGAAGAAAGAGATGGAGATTTGACCTCTGGAGAATATAACGTGCTCCTTCCTGATGGTAGGAAGCAAATTGTTACCTATGAAGTTGATGGAGACGAGGGTTATAAACCAGTTATAACTTATGAAGGCGAAGCTAACGACGGAGGATATCCATCCGGCGGACCAGGAAATGATAATGGCGGATATCAGTATAACGGAAATGGAAATGGAAACGGCAACGGAAATGGTAATGGGAATGGACATGGCAACGGAAACGGCAATGGCAATGGTTACAGTAACGGAAATGGAAATGGTAATGGTAACGGTAATGGAGGGAGTAATGGATACCGTTATTAAATGTAGCCAATTTTCGTATTCAATAATGAAACTTGCTAGAACCTCGGGTTTATGTGATTATGAAAGATGACAAATATTTTATATTTCTATTTCTAGTCTTTCCTGTCCTCGCAAATCAATTTCTTCTATGAAATATTTGTCAGTCTTATAGCAAACATTTAAGATAATATTTATATGTATTATTTTATTTATTATTTATATTTGTATTAGGATATAAAGCACGATTTGTATTATTTATTCAGTATTTTAAGTTTTCTTTTTAAATATTATATGAGGTCTGACTGATGACGACTGCTATGTATTGGGAACTGATTTTGGATTGTACTATGACTTTTTTTGCAATTTGTATATAGCCCATAACAATATATATTTATTTTGATTAATAAATATTTTTTTAGAATTTCGATTTTTTTTCTCCCCAATTCCAAACAAACAAAAGTCATACACTGGTGATTTTGCTATAGGTACTAATAAAATAATAATTAAAATCGAAAAATGTAAGAAAAATTCACCATGAAGTCGAGAAAAAGCAATATAAATTTAGATTGAAAAAATTATATGTATAGAAACCATAACAAATTTGAGAACTATAAGTATAAAACTAGAACCTACTGAAAGTCGTCTATAGAAGTTGAACTAAACTAAAAGTGTGCCTCAAAGAAAAATCCACAATGGAAATTCGAAAACGTTCACTAGGTATCTTTACAGGTGTAATAAAAAAACCTGTGGTTTTCCCATGTATTTAATATAACAATAATTCTACTTTTTCCTTATCAGCACGGTCGCGCAGCTGATAAGGCGAATTAATATCGGTTTTATAATTAACCATAAGTCAGTTTGTTGTTTATAGGTGAATATAGGTGTAACAATAGGTTGAAATTTATAATACTTAAGTATATAATAATGCTTAAATTTGTGGAAAACGCTTATTTATCTTTGCTGGAAAAAGAAAAAGAAGAAAAAGTGGAACTTGAGGTAAAGTAATTTAAGTTCATTTCTCTTAAAGAAGCTTCAGCTTGTTGATAACAAAATTTTCAGAAAGAAAAAAGGCTAAACGAGAAACTCAAAGCCAAACTTAAGGCTCTAGAAACAGAAAACTCAGATCTAAGGCAAAGCTTCACTAAAAATGAAGTAGAAATATTGACCAGAAAAAATGATTTAAACACTCTACTGGATACTCTTCAAAGGGAACGTAGAGCTGTTTTAGAAGAATCACAGAGGCTTCAAATCACCAAGGAACAACTTGATTCCGTAAGAAGCTTTTCATTAATTTAATAAATATCAATTTTTTTTATCCAATAGATAACCAATCTTATTGATGAATTGAAACCAATAAAGGAGCGACTAGATTTCAAAAAAAATGTCACTGAATGCTTACACAATCTTCTAATAAAAACCAAATTGAGGATAGCGGAAAGTGAGGATATTTTACAAGAGTTGCACGATTACTTAACCCAGCTTGAGTATGATGTGGAAAAAACTAAAGATGTTCATAGACATGGAGTGGGGCATTGGCAAGAGGAATTTTTAACTGCCAGGTACCTACCGTTAACTACTAAATATATTTTTGTTATTAAAAAAAGTTGTATAGGCTTAGAGAAGCTGACGTTATCCTAGAGTTCGACAAGTTAAAGAGGGAAATAGCAACTATCAAACATGATTTAGAAGAAAAAGCGTTAATACGTGAAGCAACAGAAATGGTACAAGCCAAATCTGGGGAAAGTTCTGCAAAAAATAATTTTATAGATAAAAATAATAAATTGTATGAAGACATATTGAAAGAAGAGGAAGCTGCAATCGCCAACACTATCGATTTCCAGAACGAAATTGATTTTTTGAAACAGCAGGTGAGTCTTTACTGAATGTTTATCACCTATACAGTGATACTAACAAGTTTGTGGGAGATCTTGTTTTTGGCTACACCTGTAAATATTAATAAGTTCTACTACCTATTTCTTTTAGCTGAAAAAGTTACAAGATCAAAAATACGATTGCGAAAGAAACATAAAATCGAACGAAGAAATTAAAATGCAACTGAACGAAGTCAGAAGAAGCATATGGCTACGGGAATTCGAGACTAATCAAAAAACTGAAAATTTAAAAGAAAAATATAAAAATTTGGCTGAAAAAATGTTTCAAGAACTCACCAGGATACAAAACAATATCGAAGATAAAGATTTGGCAATAGCGAGAATTGAGGAGAAAATTAAAGAGCTGGAAAAGATGGTATGAGAAATTAGTTTAACACACATGAAAAATAGAATTAATTTATAACTTAAATTATTTTAGAACAATTCACTAGAGCATGTCTTAAAAAATACGCCTTTAGAAGACCCAGCCTGTCAATTAGAAGAACAGAAAACCGACTTAGAAAAAGAGGTGGTTAATTTCAAATTTATTGCAATTTATGCAATATATGTATTTTATTTTTTTCAGATTGTGAGGCTAAAAAAAACTTGACTGGAATTTCACTGGGCTTCTTGTAAGCGAGATATATGAAATATGACAGATTTTATAAATGTAGTTTTTTTTTAAATATACCTATTTGTTTTAATTTCAAGTGCAAAAACTCCTAAACCCAATTATTGGTTTTACCCAAAAAGGCACTAAGGGATTCATCTCGGGGTACCTGAAATAAATTATTGTCGTTTAACATTTTGTTTAGCAAAGCAATTCTGTGTTTTGCCATAACGCGGACTTATCTTGTCTCTATTAAATTGTTTTACGAAGATTGGATCTTATAATTCTGGTTCGGGTTCACGATTTTTATTGCATGATTCTAAAGACTTTGTTTGTTTCGCTAACAATTTTTCTTGAATTTCTTTATTCAAATTTGCAAGGGATTCTGCCAAACTTGTTGCATACATAGTCAATTGTTAGTTTTTTTTCCGTTTGTTCAATTGGTATGGCATAATTTAAATCTCCTCTAATCACTTGAAAAGGGATGTGATTATGTAATTCATTGTACTATGAGTACTGTTGTTATAATTCAATATAGCGATTGTCATTAGATCAATAATACTCTTAGTCCGGTTTTGGAGTTTTAAAGTCGTTATACTTCCACGTATTGTCGAATAGAATCTTTCAATTGGACTATTCGAGTTCGGATTTCTTGGAGTTGTATAATGAAACTCAAATTTGTATAATGTACAAAGATCAGTCATTATAGCATTTTTGAACTCTGCTCCATTATCTGATGTGATTTTTTGAGGTATTCCGTAATCACTAAAATATTTCAATAGCTGTGATGATATCTCTACAGCTGTTTTCGTATTTACAATAGAGGCTTGAACAAATTTTGAAAAGCTATCAATAATGGTCAGAAATTTCTGGTTATTGATTATATACGTGTCAATATAAATATGTTCGAAGGGTTTCGTACCAATGGGTGTTAGTTTGAATATGATTTTGTATAGTTGTCGTTCATACTTGGTTTTATTACTTATCTCACATACTTTCACATACTTTCTGTACGTCTTTCTCGATATTGGGCCAATAGAATATTTTCTTTAAGACTGCAACATTTTCAGTGATTCCTCTATAAGAGGTTTTAGTCTCATGATATTGCTGAATTTTCTCTTGTTGAATAAGATCAAGTTCTGTCATGTCTTCTAATAAAGAGTTCGAGATGTACAAAGTAAATGAATTCGAATTAAATGATTCTTTTAATGCTCGTATCACAATAGGTTCTAAAGATTTATTTAGGAAATGAAGACAATAAATACCAGGTGGCATGTATTCCTTTCCTAAATCAGTAATTTGCGATGTTGTGGGATTATTTGGTAAGAAGAATATTATTCTCTTTTTATTACCAAATAGTTTAAATATCTCTTTTCTTATTGTGTTATTATTCGAATATCGAAATACAATTTGATTTCCAAATATATTTACATGTTTCTTAGTATATGGACCTCCCAATTTTCCATAGATGTATGTATTGTTTGATCATTTTCAAACAGGGCTGAAACTGTTCGTTCGTCATCCGAAGGTGTTATTTGTCTTATACTTTTCTGAGTTTTCGAAGATTCTCCTATTTCTATATGGGAATTTCTTCCTTCTCTTTTCTTGGAGGTACCTATTATTAGATGGGATAATATCTGTATTTTGGGTATTTCTTCTTAGGTTCCTCTTCAGGTTTTTTTTCTGATGCTGTTTTTGTTGATTGAGATGATTCAGACTTTGTTTAGCTTTCTCGCTTTGTTTAGGAAGATATACTTAAGAGTCTGTAAAGTATTTTGCTATGATTTCTTCCTTACTTAATGGTGTATCTTTCAGCATTACTGCTAATTTTTTGTGAAATTCTTCATCTGAAAATTTTAATCTGGCATCTGGATCTGATTTTTGAATGACATGAAGTTGTACTTATTGCAGGAATTCTTGATAGTGCGTCTGCATTCATGTTATGTTCCTTTTTTTAGTCGCCATCTGACTAATTTAGAACTTGGTTCTTTAACATTAAATAGCCATAATTGTAAAGGTTTGTGATCTAACAAAATTGTGAATTTTCTACCAAAAAGAAAAGATCGAAAATATTTTGTTGCCCATACGATTGCTAAAAGTTCTTTTTTTTTAATCGTTGAATAATTACATTCAGCTGGGTTCAAAGTTCTGGATGCGTATGCAATAGGAAGATCAGTCCCGAAAGGGCCTTGAGATAAAACAGCTCCAATTGCATAGTTTGATGCATCAGTTGTCAATAAGAAAGGTTTCTTAAAGTCAGGATGTAATATAGGGTCATTTAGTAATACATTTTTACAAGTTTCAAAGCTGTTAAGAAATTCTGCATTGTGTATTATTTTTTTGTCTTTTTTCAAACAAGATGTCATTGGTTTGGTCAATTTGGCAAAATTCTCTATGAATTTTCGCTAATAACCTACTAATCCTAAAAATGATTTTATTTCTCTCACCGTTCTTGGTATTGGGAATTTTTTTATTGTCATTATTTTTTTTGGATCCGGTTTTATTCCATTAGGCGTGATTACATGTCCTAAGAATTCGACTGTCTTGTGTAGGAATTCCGATTTGTCTAATTGTATTTTTAAATTAAAGTTCTAAAGCCTCTCAAATACTTTCTTTAAATTTATCACGTATTCATGGAGTGAAGTGGAAAAAATTATTATATCATCCATGTCTACTAGACATATTCTATTCTGTAATCCTAGTAATACATTATCCACCACTCTTTGGAGTGTTGCTGGTGCGTTCTTTAATCCAAAGGGCATTCTGTTAAATTCGTAATGACCATTTTCAATATTAAATGCTGTCTTGGGTATCGAATTTTCATGCTTCTAGACTTGATGAAAGCAAGAGGCTAAATCTAGTGTCGTAAAATAATTACTATTATTAATCAGTGATATTAGGTAATGGATATCTATCATCAATAGTTTTTTCATTGATCTTTCGATAATCAACGACCATTCTCCATTTTTGTATGCCTGCGGCATCTTCTTTCTTAGGTACTATCCACACAGGGGATGACCAGGGACTACCGGATGGTCTGATTATGTTATCTTCTAACATTTTCTTTATTTGAAAATTTACTTCTTGTTTATGCACATGAGAATATCTAAACGTTTTCGTGTGCACTGCTATTTCATCTGTTGTTTTAATTTCGTGTTTTAAAGCATCAAATTCCTCTGAGTTCAAATGATTATTACGTAGCGACTTTATAGGGTCATTTGCATATTCATCATTTTCTAATGAAGTCATTTGCTCTATATTAAATATCTCTAACTGTTCATCAGCCTAAGGTAAACTTATTTCCGCTAAGTTATTTCTGTTATATAAGACAATAATTGGCTTATTCATTAAGTTGTGTACTTCTAAAGGCATCATCTCATTAATGACTGTTGCTATTCTCGAAGGAATATAATATGTTTCGTTTTTTATTGGTGGTGTAAGAATTTCTATATTCGTAATTTGGTAACGGCCCAATTAAGGACCGATTGTGAAGTGTTTTCTCTCTGCCGCACCATCCGTGGACGTGTTTCGCTGTATTACAACAGCTCATCAGCACGGTTAAGTCTGGCAGAGACAAAACAAAACCCATTTTTGGTTCCGTCCCGGAACTAGGTTTGAGACAAGTAAGATAAAGACAGAGTCTCCATCTATTTTCTGGACGGCACACCAAATACTGCAACCAAGAACTGTTATAAAACAGTATCAAAATTGGAGCAGAGACAAAGACATTCGCCACATTTGCGAGAATATGGATGGAGACTCTGTCTTTATCTTACTTAGCTATATTCATGTTGAAATAACATAGGTACTTGAATTGAATTACCTGGAATCTCAAAATTCTGATTTTCGAAATCTGTTCTATATTGAAACGGAATTGTTATTTTTTATTAGAAAGAAGCATATTGGGAAAATCTATATTTAAATTATTTTCTTGCAATGCTTTGATTCCAATAATACCATCAAAATAGTTATGAAAATTATACATTATCATTTCAATATCGTTTCGAACATTATATTCTTGTACCCATACAAGTAGTTAACTTGTTTCGTGAATTAATTATAGAATTTGAAAAACATTCTTCTGCGATCGAGGGTCTTATTAAAGAGGCATGACTTCCTGTGTCAATTAATAATTTACACGGTGAATAGTCTATTTGAATAAAAGGCAGTAAGTTAATTTGATAAGCATTTAAAGTTAATAGCTGACTCATTGCATCCAAGGCTGGTAACGGGAACTGAAAATTTTCATCTTCAATTTCGACTTGATTTTCTTCAAAATTTGTCTCTTCATAATAATTTTCATTTTCGGAACATTCTTCAGTTTCGAAACTTTCGTCAGGGTCAAGTAATTCTATTTCAAGGATATTATTTATTAATCTCTTCGATTGTATATCTTGAAGGGCAGGCCCTTGGGGCAGGTTTGAAATAACTATTGGGTTTGTATTGATGTTGATTTTGTGCTCGTGGTTGCACTGAAACTCCGGACTTAGGTGTCGGTTTCGAAAATTGTTGACTATAGTGTTTTTTCGAAACGTATTATTGTAATTTTTGACAAAAGTTCCTGAACTAGTAGGAAATTTTGTTGGTACATAGTCCTTTTTAGGCGTTATATTATATTCAAAGGTTGGGATGGAAACTGTGGTTTCTGTGGTACGTAATGCGTTTTTTGTGTATATTGAGATCAGAGCTGGGCAGTAGCTAGCTACCAAGTAGTTAAACTACTAACTTAGCTACTTTTTTGGTGGCTAATAACTTATTCAAGCTACTTTGATTTAAAAAAGTAGCTTGTAGCTGTAGCTTTCGGTAATGTGTTCCATGTATTCATAAGCTACTGTGAAAAGAGGCTAGCTAAGCTACTAAAACAAGCTACTTAATCTACTTTTAGTAGATAATCAATAGTTATTTAAATATTAATGGCGGAAAGTGTCATTTACCGCCCGAGAGTGTGGTTAACGACACTTAACGCCCAAAATACTTATTACCTACGTTTTATATGCACAGCGGACTCTTCTAGTTCAAAAATGAAATAACTATAGGTACCATTCGATAATGGCATCCATTCGACATTGTTTTTAAAAAATAAACACTCTTCCCC